GGAGGAAGGATGAATATGGGATCAGGGAAGAATATATTTCAACTAAGGGAGTCATTTTAGGGTTTACAGGAGACTTGATTATATATGGGATCCCAGGTCCAAGGAGAGATCCCCAGATTGTTCTCTGGACAGAGGAGAGGGTGCCTGAACCGGCCTTGGCCCATAACCATACTGATGAATATTTTGCTTATCACCATAGATCCTTCATCCGACGATGGATGGCAATACAGACGGAGACCCACATTGGAGCACCGGACTGAGCCCCCCATGGTCCAAATGAGGAGCAGAAGGACGAAGAAAATGAAAAAGGAAATAAGGACTGCGAGGGATGCTATCACCCACTGATACAAGGGGACGGATCTAATGAGAGTTTACCAAGGCCAGTTGGACTGCGACTGAACGAGGAAGTGATCCAACCAGATTCTCTGAATGTGGCCGGATTCTCTGAATGTGGCTGGCCCGGAGTCTTTCTGAAAAGCCATTGACAATGACACTGGGACTTGTTTCCTCTGCATATACTGGATTTTGGGGATCCAGTCTGTTTGGATACTCACCTTCCTGGACCTGGAGGGAGGGGGGAGGAACTTGAACTTCCCACAGGGCAGGAAACCCTGACTGCCCTTAGGGACGAAGAGGGAGGAGGAGAGGGAGTGGGGGGAGTGGGAGGGTGTTGGGAAGAGGGGCGTAAATGGAAACTTTTATAATTTAATAAAATTACTTTTAAAAAAAAAACAAAACCTTCCCCATTAATGAGTTGCACATCAGCGGTTTCTTTACTGCACCCCATCTCGTGCAGTTACATGTTTGGTAATGAGATATTATACAAACTATATATATAAACATGTAGGACTATTTGGCAACTTTTAAATCAACCTCAGTGTGTGGTCATGGAACTGCAGTCAGAGCTGCGTGGCTGGCTAGGGCAGAAGGACTCCTTAAGCCCAGGAGTTTGAGGCCCATTTTTTTTCAGCACAAGGTACATAAAGTTGATAAACTCATAAAGACAGGAGGGATGGTGGTTTCCAGGGGTTGGGGAGTGGGAATGGGGAAGTTCTGTGATGTAACAGAACTGCACACTTAAAAATACTTCAAATGGTAACAGTGGCATGCATTTTACTATAACAAAATGGCTTCAGAGATTCATATAAAGGGAAAACTATGACATAATAATAAAAGCTTTAGGAGGGGCCTGGAGAGATGGCTCAGTGGTTAAGAGCACCGGCTATTTATTCCAGAGGACCTGGGTTCAATTCCCAGCATCCACATGGCAGCTCACAGCTGTCTGTAACTCCAGTTCCAGGAGGTCCAACACTCTCACAGACAGACATGCAGGCAAAACACCAATGCACATAAAATGAAAACAAATCATCTGAAAAAGCTTAAGGAGAAAAGACATTATATCTGTCTAAGCTTAATCTATAAATGCACAGAAAATGAGAAAAAATCCATTGTTAAAAATGGTGATGTCTAGATGGAGACTAAAGGTTACTTTACTGCCTTTTGATGCTCTTCCCCACTGTGCACCAGTGTGTATGAAGGAGTGAAAGATTTCTAACTTCCTAATGGAGTAACCGCTCTCTACCGAGAAGATAAACATGTAACTCATGTAAATAAAAGATCATCACCCTGACCTCCTATAGAAAGGAATGATGTGAAGACATCTAGGCAGACAGGAATCTGGATATGATTAGACCCACCCCTCCACCGGGCTGAAAAAGCCACTTCCCTAGGCAAAGTACTACACAGTAGCCTGAAGCCCAAGTACTCTTCCTACCAAAAAAGGCAAAGCCAAGTTGCTGAACTAGTAAAGGCCAGCAGCAGAGGGCAGTGTGCCTCTCTGGGGGCGCTCATCACCCAACAGGCGAACTGAAAAACCTATCAAAGGTACAAGACACAGGTCCAAGTGTGCTATTTCCACAGAAGCCTGCTTTGACAATACCGCTCTAGATCCAGGACCCAGGAAACACCAAAACAAGCTTTAGTTTTCTTTACTGGGGCCAAAAGGACAATTACCTTTTTAGACCATATTTATACGTTCTGATTCTATATACTTTATATGAAAAGTATGATTTTTTAAAAATTTTGTACGTATATTACTGATGTAACAAAAAGTTTGAACTGATAAAGTCTAGTTGTGTATCTGATCGACAGACATGACAAACACTCCTTCCCTAGATGGGGAATCAAGCTAGTCCTATAGAAGTCAAAATCCCCCTTGAAGGCAAGGCGGCAGTGTTTATTCAGCAAAAGGTTTTCACTTTAGGAAAGATTTGAAATAAGTGTGAATCTGCAAATACATTTAATAACCAGGGAGTTCTGGCCCCAGCTTGTAGGCTAATGCAATACAAAAAAGGGAGGCACTCCAAAGGGAGGGAGCGAGGGAGAGAGGGAGGGCAGCGAAGTGTCCCTTCTGCTCAGGTGAAAAATTAACTAAGAGCCCGGAGCTGGCTGAGACCGGAAGGGGTCAAGTCATGCTGATTCAGTAGGTGAGGAAATGCGACAGGTGTGCCTCACGTGATGGCTTCCCCCTAACCTAGAGGGCGCAGGTGGAGATTGTCAGGAAAAGGAGGCTCTGCGTGGCTCCGCCCCCCAGCCAGGCTCCCTCCTGCCTGCAGCCCCTGGAAGGGAGCGGCTAGCGGAGGCTACAGGAGAACCTTGTTTGCTGCTCCACTGGGTTCCAACTCCAGCAGGCCACGGGTGACTTTTATGGGTTATTTGATTCTGCCCCGGTTCACTGAATACCTGGTGATCTTTTTATTTGTTTGTTTTAACTCTAAGAGTCTTTTTTTGCTTTCTGGCACAGAAGACACTTAGCGTGGAGACAAAGCTTCCTTCTTAAGGGGGACCAGCTTTAGGCCAAGGACAACATTTCACACTGTAGGAGTGGCTTTTGATTTAAAGAGCTTCTGGCAATTTGCCTTGGCACTGTTTATCCAAAGCCCTGGCTACGCCTCTTAAAAATGAACGTCTTGATTACACACCCGCAGAATCCGGGTTTTGCCTCTGCAGAAAGCGGAAGTGTGGGGAGAGGGTGCTGGTTACAGAAGAAGTGTGATGAAAGAAAAGGATACATTCTCCCTCCTAGAAGTTTTGCAGGCACCTTGAATCTAAGCAGAACTCCCTGTTGAAACCTTGCAGTTCCGGGCTGAAATGCAAGAGAACAGAGTGTCCAGGCTCCCGCCTGCGCAGCTTACCTGATCCAAGATGTTAACGTCATGCTGAGCGCTTAATAAGCTGTTGACAACTGTAGGGTGGTTGTTGATAACTGCTACGTGAAGAGGGGACTCCTGAGGCTGCAGAAAAGAAGAAAAAAATGTAAATTCAAAACCATCCAGCTTTGGTATTCAAATCCTGAAGCAATCCATTTTAGCCACACCCCCCCCCCCCCCCGACGATCTCTGAGATATACAATTGTCCATCGCAGTGTGGGACCCATAGAAAGCATTCAACAATCCTTACCATCCCCAGACTGCCGGTCTTTCTGGACATGTATAACAAACAAGCACCTACTATAGGCCTGGCTCTTCAGGAGTTAGAGATTTATCTTTTTAATGAAGTCATTGTGAGGTTCCAAACCCGGGGCAAACAGCTGAGATGCCTATTTAACATATCAAAGAAGACACTGGCCACCAGGTTGTCCCAGCAGCCCTCAGTACCTACATTTACAGGGCCTTCCTGGCTGGTATACTTCACCCCTACCCTGAACTCTCCAATTCAAGGGACTGGGCTGCTCTTTCCTGTATAATACAGCCATTTTGGTTACCTGGTTACCTGTCTCTTTTATATCTTTGGGCCTCCTGACTGCTGCCCCAGGTTCTCCTCTCTTCCCTCTCCCTTCCTCTCCTCCTCCCCTCACATGGCCCAGCTCAGTCTGGTCATGTCTACTCTGGACTCTCCCAGATGTGTCTGCCTCTGGTTATGCTCCTCCACAGAACTATAATAAACTTACTCCCTTATCACACCTAGGAACGCTCCTTTTCTTTCTTTCTTTCTTTCTTTCTTTCTTTCTTTCTTTCTTTCTTCCCACCCTTCTCCCCTCCCTCTCTCCCTCCCTCCCTCCCTTCCTTTCTTTCTTTTAATTCAGTCACGCAGCTATTTAGTTTCAAAGTTTAAGTGGCTTAGAGGAAATGTCACATGCGCTGAAGTGGCACTGAGCCGGGAGGGCTGACCCTTCTGGGAGGTGGAAAAGCCTTTCTTGAAGAACTGGGCAAGGAAGTCTCAGGAAGGCTCCGCTGAGGACTTCTCCAAGTCTTCAAGAGCCAAAGGACAAAAGGAGCGGCCGCAAAGGCGGAAATGTACACGCGGTCAGCATTTCCTGACCAGATGCAAGCCACACTCAGTTCCCTTGATCCCTGGCTGGTGTCTGCCGCCTCCTCCAAAGAGGCTACTGGTGGGCTGTGAGCAGTCTCAGTGGCTCCTCTTTACATCACCCCACCTGGATCTCCCGACCCCTCTCACTCCTTCCTTTCCTCCCCTCTCCTACTCAGCCCACAGGACACGAAGTCCATCACCACAGGCTGTCTCAAAAGTCCCTGCTACCTCCCCTTCACCCAGCCACACTGGCCTGCGGAGCCCTCTGGGAGGAGAAAAGGCCGCTAAGGACTGAAGAAAAAGTATTGAACAGAGGTGCAAAAGCAGTTAAGGCATGAAATGAGTAAGTTGAGGAACGTGCAGAGTGGAGGGAGAGGTGGGGGAGAGGAGGGGAGCTCTGGCCAGCATGAGAGCACTGGCCTGAGAGCAGTGGGTTGCAGTGAGACTGCAGCCCGAAGGTGGTGGCAGAGGTGCTGGCCACAGAGTAGAGAAGGGGACACAGGAGAGGGAGGCGGGTGGATAGGGTAACCTGAGTGTCACAATCAAGCACATTCAACACATCCTCCTCTCCTGTACTTGTTAAAACTATAATTATGCTGGCCTACCCTGTCACCTGGGTACCCTGTCCCTTTAAGAGAAAGCTCTGCCCACTCCCAATCTCCCCCCCGTCCCACCTAGGCAAGATGGTGTTGCCTTCCCCCCCCCCCCACTCTCCAGCTCTTCTGAGGAGGCAGCCTCTGCCTCCCTCCTCCCCACTTCCTCTTCCCTCTATCTCTGTCCTCCCCATACCCCCTATCCTTATACCCTCCCAATACCCACTAAATAAACTCTCCATACCCAAGCTCTCCCTGCATGGCATATCTGTCTCCCACCCGTTGTGAGATGTACAAGGGTTATTACTACACACTCTTTACCCGCCATGCTCATCCTGTTTTAAACACTAAATCAAGCAGGTGTCGTGGCATAGTACTCCAATCTCAGCACTCATGGGGCAGAGAGGGGCTGCAGGATCTCAAGCGTCAGGTCAGTCTAGGTTTTATAGGGAGTTTCCCGTTAGTTTAGTTTACACAATAAGACCCTGGCTCAAAAACATGAAGAAAAGCCGCTGCTGGTGGCGCACGCCTTTAATCCCAGCACTCTGGAGGCAGAGGCTGGCGAATCTCTGACTTCGAGGCCAGCCTGGTCTACAGAGTGAGTCCCAGGACAGCCAGGACTGTTACACAGAGAAACCCTGAAACCCTGTCTTGAAAAGCAAGCAAGAAAAAAAAAAAAAAAAAAGGAAAAACAAGACTAGGTTTAAAAAAAAAAATGTTCTTACAAGCTATGTCAACCCCCCTAGGAGGTGGACCTTGTATCCCCTACCTTACACATGGATTGGTAACTCTCCAGTAACAAGGAAGAGGCAAAGACAGGACTTGAGCACAGGCCTTCCAGATTTCTCTATCTGCACAGTGGAGATAGTTCAGTGGACCAGAGCTGAGGAACAGGGAAGACTGTACAACTGAGTGAAAGGCTGTTTGGGGGTGAGCCAGGGGACAAGGTGACACTGGGGCACGCATGGGGGTCGCCTGAGAAGGCCTCCTCTGCTTGGAAGTAAGCCTTTCCCTAGAAGCATGAAGCAAGAACAAAGAGACCGCGTTCTTCACGTCAAGGAAGTGGTCAGTATTTTGGCCAAGGCCACCCACTTTGCTAGGACCCAGAGTCTCCTGAGAATGAGGAACCCTCCTTGGCCCGAGATAGGTAAATCAGAGCCAGTTCCTCTAACTCCATGCTCTAAAAATTATCGGACATGGTTCAGAGCACGTCCCTCCTTTCAAGGCAGTGCCGTAAATAGAAACGGCACAGCACACCAGAGGAAATAATATTCACGGGAGAGAGGAAAATACAGTGGAGAATAGAGGAGTCTTTCTTGTCCGATCCCAGCACAGACAGCATTTGTTTGTTCTGCTGGAGCCGATCCAAACTTCAGAAAAACTTCAATCAGTAATAAAAGACTGACTTTGAAAAACCACAAGATCATTCAGAGATGGGGAAATGATCCATTTTCTCCACAGCCACAGCAGCGGTGGTGGCGGCATTTCCCAGGCTGGTGAAATCCGTACAACAGTCGGGGCACCTCTGGACACCTGAGACTTACTGCAGCAAACCTATCTTGAACACAGTTTGTTTTATGCAGCAACTTCGATGACTTTCTAAAATTCACCCCTTGGATCTTATTTCTCACGATTAAGATTAAAAGTGCAAAACAAAACAAGCCAGTGTTCCCTAAAAAGAATCTCTCCCTCGTGAAACATCTCATCCAGGGGCATTTGCATAGCCAGCTTCGCAGCCCCAAACCCCAAACCTGTATCAACTGTCATGGACTCACTTCCTCCTGCTGCTGCAAACCAACGTTCTCCTGGAGAAGAAAGTTGACAAGGGATGTGTGTCCCTTCTGGCTGGCTGCCTGCACAGCACTGATGTGGAGCTGCAAAGAACAGATGGAGAGGGAGGGTCAGGGGGAATTCCATCACTATCCGCGTGCAGTCTGGTGCCCAGGATGCGGTAATTAACTTATACAAGGAAATACTACAACTATTTTAAAAACGGAGCTTCAGTGTGTTTCTGATTATTCTAGGGTCTGTCACTTCCAAGGGTCTTCTGTTACCTTATCATATGACCCCACGACTTGACTGGGTCTCCAAAATTCCTAATGCTAATGAGAGGAGATATGGAAGAGAAGACATCAGGAAGGGGTGATGTTAGGTGAGTGGATTCCACATGTGATGCTGTCCCTGCTTTGATAAGAAAGGCCGGAGGGCTAGCTGCTCCTCTTTCAGCAGTGGGAGGACCCAACAAACGGCCTCCAGTGAGGCTAGAAGGGCATCTTCACCAGAACCCGATGCTGTTAGTGCCCAGGCTCGAGTTTCCTAGCTCCAGCTGTGAGAAGTAAACGCTTGCTGCCTAAGTCACTCAGGTTTCTTATTACTAATTTTTTTTTTTTAAATAGACTGACCTAAGACACTGAGATACTATGACTCAGTCGCATGTGAGTTCAATCCCTACTTCCAGAACCAAGCTTACCCCTGTAGTCCCAGCAAAGCCTTTCCCTGAGTTAACATAGGTGGTTGGCATTGGCCTCAAAAAACGACCTCAGTGGTTTCTGGCTCTCCGCCCTTGTTTATTCCCAGCTCTCCTCTGTGCCAGGAATGACTTCAAAGCTTAGCACGATTTCCACCCGGGTGAAGTGCTGCTTCTTGGTCCTGTCACCTGCTTCCTTTCGCAGCTCTCCTTCTCTCGCTTCCATGGCCTCGTGCCACACTCCAGTGCCTAAGCATCTCTGCTTAGCACCTGAGCTAGATGGTACTCAGCTCAAAATCGTGGCCTTCTTGTGCTTAGCCTTCAGTCTGGTAGCAGTGCAAGCCAATGAATTAGTTAGGGTGGATTATAAGATGGCCATAAAATATATTCAGATCCTCAGTAGAAGAGCACTGTAGAGAACAGCTTTCCCTGAAGTGGCTGTGCTGAGACGCCCTGACCTGCTTGCCACTCCTCCGTCAGCAGCTAGGATTCATTTCTTTACTGCCTTGGATCTAGGTAGACCTGCAACTTCTTTAACCAATGGATAGATCAGCAGTGATAAAGAAACCAGTTTCAGGCAGGGTCCCTAACTAGCCTGGCAGCTTCCACCCCCTGCCTTTTGTTTTTTAATTTTGGTTGGTTTGGTTTGGTTTGGTTTTTTGAGACAGGGTTTCTCTATATAGCTTTGGAGCCTGTACTGGAACTCACTCTGTAGACCAGGCTGGCCTCAAACTCATGGGTATCCGCCTGACTCTGCCTCCCATGAGTGCTGGGGTTAAAGGCATGCACCACCACCACCGGGCTCACCCCCTTCCTTTTGTACCAATGATTCTTGTAGCATTCACTTCCTCTTGAGGCCAGTTGCTAAGCTATCCAAGGGTAACCTCACATAGTGGGCACTTGTTGATACTGCAGTTGACCTCCCAACTGACAGCTAGAAACATCTTCCAGATAAGTGAGTGAACCATCTTGAATATCTAGTTCAGATAAAACATTACATGACTAAAATCCTGGCCAACCTCTGAGTATAATCATGTAAACAGACTCCAAGAAGGATTATCGAAGATGGGTCCAGTCAACTCACTGGGAAAGTTTTCGGGATCAAAACATGTTTCCTTTTATTCAGTCCAAATAAACAAATAAATAATACCAAGAGGTTATAAAAGAAGGATCTGGTATACGTATACCTATTGATGAGACCAGTCCTAGTGACTTTTCTATTGCTGTTACCAAGTTGTTTTTCTATACCTATACAAGGTAACTCGTAAAAGAGTTTATTGGCTTATGGTTTAGAAGGTGAGTCCATGACCATATCAGTGAACATGACAGTAGATAGGCAGGCATGGCACTGAGGCAAGAGCTGAGAGCTTACACATTGAGTCAACAACCATGAGACAGAGAGAGGGCACTAACTTGGAATGGTATGGGCTTTTGAAACTTCAAAGCCACCCTTAATGACACACCACCCACAACAAGATCACACCTCCTAATCCTTGCCAAACAGTACCACCAACTGGGGACTAAGTACTTAAACACATGAACCTACGGGGACCATTCTCATTCAAACCACCGCAAGAACTATTCTTAAAAGACTACCCACAAGGCTCTGAGACTCTGGAGCAAAAATACTCCTGGAGGCTGGGAAAATGACTCAGCACTTAAGAACATGCACTACTCTTGCAGAGGACTTGAGTTCAGTTCCCACACCTATGCAGGTGGCTCACAACCACCTGTAGTCCCAGCTGCAGAGATCTGACGTCCTCTTTTAGTATCCTTGTGCAGTTGCACTTAATATCTTGCCAAACATACACATGCATTCAAAAGTTAAAAATAAAACTTAAAAAGTAATATTCCTGCTGGGATGTCAACCTAGAAACCTCCTACTTGATCTTGAACTGACAACTCTTGCTATTCATCCAGATAGTCAACAACTTTTATTTCAAACGCCTTAAGCAATCCTCCTCAGTTTTGACTTTAAGAATGTCCCTTGGGGGCTGGAGAAATGGCTCAGTGGTTAAGAGTACTGATTGCTCTTCCAGAGGATCCGGGTTCAATTCCCAGCACCCACGTGGCAGCTCACAACTGTCTGAAAAATCCAGTTCCAGGGGATCTGACACTTTCACACCAATGCACATAAACTAAAAAAAAATAAGATAAATAGATCATAAAAAAAAAGAATGTCCCTTGACCACACTGTCCTTGAGTCAGTTTACAGGCCGTACCCATCTTACTACAACATTATGCGGAACATCAATTTACTCTTTAGAGACTCTTTTGTGTGTTGAGATTGACACACCATGAGAGATAATACACTGGTTTATGTCCCAGAGCTTTGCTTGTTGCTTGTGAAGGAATAGATGGCTGATCAGCCAACTGAAAGCCAGCTTGAGTTGATGCTGAACACCTGTGTGACCTGGCTTAGAAGGCTTCTGAGTGCAGGCCTCTTTGTCTCCATCCATAAAAACAGTGTAACCGCCTCTATTTGTTTTCTTTACCAGTACAGGGACCCTGGAGCTGGAGTGACAGACAGTGGTGAGCCACCACCTGGGTGCTGGGAATCGAACCCCAATCCTCTGGAAGAGCAGCTTGGTGCTGCTCTTCACCACTGAGCCACCTCTAAAACTTAAGAAAAGATAATAATTACTGGTTCCAAGATACCAAAAGAAAGCCACAAAACTGAAGTGAATAAATATTTAATTGACACATTCCTGCTTCATTGATTGTTAAATGTAATATCATAAAATATTCATTAATTTATAAATGACTTAGAGTTTTCATTTTTTTAACCTCCTGAAAATCCCCAAGTATACATACAGTGTTCTAACAAATCAATCACTTATAAATTAGATGAAGTTTACTGCAACCAAGTAATTATAAAAATAAAAATAAAAGCTCTGTTTAGAGTAACAGTGGTGATATATATTAGAAATGTAGGTGTGTTTAAATACATTTGATAAGGTATGACATAAGGCTAGACATTTGAGTGCTCAAGGTCTACAAAAGTTATCCTAGGGCCCATGGCAACTGATACAATGCTGAAGAGAGCCTATTGCCCAAATTGGGCCACCTCTAAATCTAGCACAAATGGGGAGACTTTTCCTAACAACCAAATCCATGCTCTTACTCCGGTTACCTCCTCCGGAATGACTCAGTTGTGTGTTTTATCTCATCAGTAAGAGGGAGACATAAGAGAACGCAAAAGCCATCTCCTAGAGGTCGAGTAACGATGGTGTCAGCAAGGCGAACCATTTCCATGACTGAACCCATCCCTACAGATGTAAAAGCAAAGTGAAGTCCAGAACACCTTTGATCGTGTCTGCTATTGCAGTTGGCTTCTTACTCCACACTGCTTATACCCTGGGAGTTTTCTCCAGGACAACTGGGAACAGTTCTGGACTATAATGGGTGCTGGGATTATTGTCTAGGAACTGTGCTTATTAACAAAGGCAAAAAAAAACCCTCTAGACATTGTATTAAGTTTTCATTACTATCATGAAGTACTTGAAGTAGGTTAATTTATGAGGAAGTGGGGTTTATTTTGCTCAGTTGCTGCAAAAGAAAGTCCAAATCTCAGGGAGTGAGCTCTGGAATGGGACTCTGTATCATATCATATCATATGATAGGCTGTATCATATCACAGTGCTATGGTGTGTATTGCCATCCACGTGGTCTTTTTCCCTCTTTATAAACTTACCAGAATACAGTCAAGCATAGGACTCCACCTTAGTGAACTAATCACTTTTGGAAGAATGCACCTCCAACTACCATGGTTGGATTACATTTCTACCTTGCTATCATGAGGCTTTGGAAATTAAACTCCTTGGTGACTGGGAGCCACAAATGTATTCAAACAATGGCTCTGGTACGAGCTGGATGTGGTCTTCTGGCAACTTCCATCCGCAGAGGCTATTGCTGAAAGCACATGGATGACAGGCGTGTGCTGTCCTACAAGACGAGAATGTGAGCTCGTGCATGTGAAAATCACGGCAAAGCCAAATCCCGATGAAGGCAGAATAAGCAAATATAGAACCTAGGGGGTTCAGATGAGGGAGTGAGCCTCAGAGCCCTGCTCACCAGGGAGGCCATTTCAAAGACTTGGGGTGGATGCTCTCTGAAGTCAAGACAGAAATTCCACATCCTGAACTCTGTTATTTTAAATATTAGTTTTATTATTTTTAATTGGGTAGAGGTGTGTGTGTGTGTGTGTGTGTGTGTGTGTGTGTGTGTGTATGTGTGTGTGTGCATGCGTACTTGTGTGCCTATGGGTATGTGCGCTTGACTGCAGGTGCCTGAGGAGGTCGAAGGTATTCCTAAAACTTGAGTTACAGGTATAGTTGTAAATTACCTGATGTGAGTACTGAAAACTGAACCCAGGTCCTCTGGAAGAGCAGCCAGTGCTCTTAACTC